CAGACCTTGGTCATATCATAATGGGGGTTCTTGGCCAACTCTTCTCTGGCAGGTAAGGTTGCATTCTCTTCTCGTGTTGATTGATGATTTTCTCTTAATGATATCTCTTTCTTCCCTCAATCAGAATTTGAAATGATTTTATTTTCCTAACTCATGTAATGATTTTATGTTCATTCCACTGAATTCATTTGATTGATGTCCCTTACATACCGTAACTACAATGCAATAATTTCATCTCTCTGCCTGTATTTTTATTGTCTTTGGAGTGCTAGGAGGCTGAGTAGTTACCTGATAAGCTTATAAATGTTTTATCTTTTTATGACAATTGCAATTGTCCTGGATAAATAGGTAATTGAAAAGTGATCGTAGTTTTGTCCTAGTAAATTTCAACCACAGAAATTTATGGAAAACTAAATTCTCCATAACCTGTACCCATTCGGCAGACTGAAGAAGCAACTTAAACTTATTGAATGAAAAAAAAGAACCAGATTAGACGTTCTCTTTTGCTCTTGATTTATTTAAGATGATATAGCTGCTGAATTTTAAAGGATGACTGAAATCTATAATGAATATTTATAAATGGATTTGGAAATGTGCCACAAGGCCGTACACATTGACTTTCTCCTATTACTGTCTGTTTCGTAGTTTTCTTCAGTTAGTTGGTTTCTGAATTATTGTTTATGATGATAAAGTAATGTTAGCTAAAGCTACTGTAACAAACATCGCTAGCTTGCTCCTACCTTTGCTATTTTTTGATGTTGCCCTTTCTATCCGTTCAGTTCACGCTGGCATGCATCAAGATGAATAGGCTTGACCTGGCTAAAAAAGCAGTCGATTCAGCTGAGAAAAGGCTACGAGTGGATCAGTGGCCTGAATATTATGATACCAGGTATGGTAAATTTACAGGAAAGCAAGCCCGGCTGTACCAAACATGGACAATAGCTGGTTTTCTGACATCCAAAATGCTGTTGGAAAATCCAGAGACGGCTTCCTTGCTATTCTGGGAAGAAGACTATGATCTTCTTGAGATTTGTGTCTGTGCTCTTAAGAAATCTGGAAGGAAAAAGTGCTCACGTGGCGCGGCCAAGTCTCAAATCCTTGTATGAGTTATAACCATCATTCTTTCGGAGTTTTAACTCATTTTACATGTACAGGAAATAGGTAGGATAAGTGTTTTTGTCTGGAGGGTTTTTTCAACCTCAAGACATAAAGAAAAGAAGACGTAGTTTTTCACACAGCATTATGGAATTACCATTGTTTTTATACGCCAATCAATTGTAATAGTACATCAACTTAGGAAATGAAGCCAAGTTCATTTAAGGCAGGAATTAGTCTGTATATAAATTATACTACGATGATTGGCATGTTGTATTTGTTTCTTATACTTTGTGTAAGATGCATTGGAGTGAGTTTTTATGTTTCTTTATGATTGATATTTTGCCATTTTTCCTTAAGCTCTTTATATGCTGGAACCTTTAATACATATTGGAAACTTTTATGAGTTCAAACTTTAACAATTTAAGTGGGAAAATCTGTTGCAGTTCATGGAGAAACTTCATGAATGATTCATGGACTTCAAACCTTTATCAGTTCAAATTTTTATGAAGTTAAAACTCCAATAAAAATTTCTTGGAGTCCGTGTTTTAACTAGGGGGTATTTTTTTTATTAAAAAACAACTAAACATGAAAGAGTTTTAAAATGCGGGGCTAAAGTTAACTAGCCCTCTAAAATATATTCATTTGTTAATTTCTCCTAGTTTACTCAAACATCCACTAATTCATTTTTATTTTTTTGATCACTGAAGTCACAATTTTAAGATTGAGATGGAGAAGGCTTATTACTTGAGCAAACTTCTCTTTATTTTATTCATTTTGATTGTTAACCTTTATAATTAGAATAATTGAAGTATTAAGTACTGGAGAACACTTTTTTAGCTTCGAACACAGAGAATACCAGTTGCGACTTGTACAAATGAAGGACATTTTTATACATTTATACTGTTATACATTATGAATCGAAGACTTCTACTTTCTGTAAATGGATTTGTGTTAATCTTAAATGTATGTTTAAGCAATGAATGCAAGAAAGCTAGTTTCCCAAACTCAAATTCCTCAAACTATCAAGAACTCTCTTCTTTGTGCTGCAATCGACCCACCCCATTCAAACCCACCATTTGTACCCAAGCCTCCTTCTATATTAGCAACTGGTCTTCTCAAGTCGTATTTTGAAAGGGGTCTGATTAGAGAAGCACGTACACTGTTCGATGAAATGCCTGAAAGAGATGTTGTTGCTTGGACGACCATGATTTCTGGGTACACTTCATGTAATCTCCATGGACGTGCTTGGATGGTTTTCTGTGAAATGATGAGGTATACGGATGTGCGCTACAATGAGTTCACGTTATCTAGTACGTTGAAGGCTTGTAAAGGGATCAATTCGTACTCTCATGGAGCTTTGGTTCACGGTTTGGTTCTGAAGCAAGGCATGAGTGGAAGTATTTATGTTTCGAATGCACTCTTGGATGTCTATGCTACGTGTTGTGTTGATATGGAAGAAGCATCTGCGGTTTTTCAGGAGATTAGAGAGAAAAATGATGTGTCTTGGACTACATTAATCGCGGGATATACTCATCGTGGTGATGGCTATATGGGGCTTAATGTTTTTAGAAGAATGTTATCGGTATGTATTTAGATATTTTCTGGCAATAGGCCAGTTAATGTATATAGAAAATAGTGCCACTTTAATCTTCTTGAAATCACCTGTTTTAGAAAAAATTGTATTCTAACTTTTCATGCTTTTTTGGTGTGTTTTTGGATGGACAGGAAGAGGGTGAATCAAACCCATTTAGCTTTTCAATAGCAGTCAGAGCTTGTGCCTCGGTCCACTCATGTACATATGGGAAGCAACTTCATGCTGCAATCACCAAGCATGGATTGGACTTTAATCTACCTGTAATGAATTCTATTTTAGATATGTATTGTAGGTGTAACAGCTTAAATGATGCAAAGCAATGCTTCCATGAAATGACTCAAAGGGATTCAATCACCTGGAACACTTTGATTGCTGGATATGAGAAGTCTGATCCATATGAATCTATCAGCACATACTCGCATATGGAGCTTGAAGGTCTCAGCCCCAATTGCTTCACATTTTCCAGCATTATAGCAGCTGTGGCCAATTTGGCAATTTTGAGTTGTGGAGAGCAGATTCATGGAAGAATCATAAAGAGAGGCCTCGGAGGGAACTTGGAGTTGGACAATGCCTTAATAGACATGTACGCAAAGTCTGGAAATATTGGAAGTGCACGTAGAATTTTTGATAAAATGCCCACGAAAAATCTGGTTTCGTGGACCTCAATGATGATTGGTTATGGAAGCCATGGATATGGAAATGAAGCTGTCAACTTTTTTGAAGAGATGGTTAAATTTAGAGTCAGGCCAGATAGGATAGCATTTGTGGCAGTTTTAAATGCATGTAGTCATGCTGGGCTTGTAGATAAAGGTGTAAGGTATTTTATGTCAATGGTTGGTGATTACAACATAGCTCCAGATCCGGAGATTTTTGGGTGTTTAGTAGATTTGCTAGGACGCGCTGGAAGAGTTGAGGAGGCTTTTAAGTTGATAGAGAGTATGCCATTTGATCCCGATGAATCTGTTTGGGGAACACTCATAGGAGCATGTAAAACACACAATCATCCAGATTTGGGCACGCTGGCCATAAGAAAGGTGTTGGCATTGAAGCCGAAAATTGCAGCAACTTATGTAATTCTGTCAAATATCTATGCAGCTGACGGTAAATGGGGTGACTCTGCAAAAATGAGGAAGTTGATGAGAAGGATGGCTACCAAGAAAGAGGCAGGGAGAAGTTCAGTAGAGATAAAGAATCAGAACTATAGTTTTGTTGCTGGAGATAAAATGGGTTCACATATGGATTGTGTTGATGAAGTTGTAAAAATCCTGGTCGAACATATGAGAGACACACGATATATTCCTGATTTGGACTTCTTTATACATAACTTAGAAGATGGAACTTGAAAAGTAACAGCAATGAGGTACAAAGTGTTTGCTGTTATATATGTTGGCATGGTGATTCATTTTCTTCAGAAGTCACGTTGCATTCTATACAAGAGGGGATTTTTTGAAGAAAGTTGAGGGTGGATAATCAATCAGTTTTAGTCAATAGTTGATACTGTCAGAAAAGGAACTAGTGGGTTATGTAACCAAGTAAAATCATTCTTTGCCATGACACAGTACATTTGAATTTCATGGAAAGCAATCTCTTGATTATTCTGAACCTTCAGTCTAGGGAATTTTCTGAATTCTAAAATGCTCCTGGAAGATCCAGCTAGGGGACATTGTTATTATGGGAAGATTGAACAACTCTATGATCTTCTTGTAATTCGCTTGTGTTCGTTAGTCATTACCATGTCTGGAAACAAAAACAGCTCGGTGCCAAACATGGACCAGCAGATATGATACATGGACTTCAGTGTATCTTTTGACTTGTAAAATGTTTTGGAAGATCCAACATCAGTACATTGTTATTATTTGAGGAATAATATGATCATTTAGAGATTTGTATCTGCTGTCTTTGCTATTCTGGGAGATAAAATTGCTCAAGTGATATTGCTAAGTCTCAGATCCGTATATTGAGTATGACCATTCTTTAGGTGGTGAAACACATTCTACTTGTACGTCAAAGTGGTTTCGGATTGTTCCGTAATTCTTGTCCGGAGGCTATTGTGGAATTGCTACTGTTTCTGATCCAGTCAGTTGCAATAGCTCATTGTCTAGGGAAAAGCTGGAGCATCATTCACGACATGCACCAGTCAACATTGTTATGAAGCATCATTGATCAACACCCAGATTGGTGCATAGGTGACATTTGTGTAAAATCATAGGTTGTGGTGAACCAACAAAACAGAACAGATGATCTATGCTAATGTTCAAGGTTGAGAGTTTTGCCCCCAACGGATAGTTTGCTAGTAAGCAGGCAGAGATGTAAAATTTTAACTTCATTTTTCCAGTTGATAAAATACATCATACAACTAGAAAGGGAGCAAAATACAAACATTACAGGCTCAAGGTCATGGAAACCTTCTTTGCTGCTTTGTATCACATTCTCTATCTTATCTACAGAACAAGTCATGATTTTGAGAAATAAGAATGTCATGTTACATGCCAGTTTTACAAGAGTATTGCTTGTATATTTGGCAGTATAATTCCACTGGTAGCCCCAACGCATTTGCTTCCACCATGTATGCATAAACTTGTTCATTAACTACTACTGAAATTCTTCAACACACTGCAAAATTAACATAGAAATGCACCCTTATTCTGTATGCTAAAAAATCAACAGTCCATGGTTATCTCTCCTATTCAGTTCAAGGAAATCAAATCTACAACTCCTTGTCCATCGACTGTAAAGATACCTGGAAAACATAACAATGAAACAGGTCAATTCTTCTTCTATTACTGACAAGTGACAACCTATATTCACCTGTTCAGCTTCAAATCTTCAAGAATGGGGTAAATGCTTTGATTAATACATAAATAAGCTGCTTATAGAGAAATCACACAAGCTTCCACTGCACTTTAGGTGGCGGCCCCCAACTCTAATTCAACTATTCAAGTGCATTATTAGATACTTAAGACTTATTCCAGTCACTGCAAGGTGATATACTGATATTACTATGTCACATTGCAGTAACATCGCAAGATTATACAAATACTTGGGTCCTAGAAGAGTAAGTGACCAAAAATTTCAATTTTGACAATGAGCTCCTTTTATGTTACAGTCCAGAATCTAATTAATTAAGATAATCAGATGGCACAATCTGAAATATGTGGAGATCTGGTAAGAAAATGGGAACTCAAGGAGTGAAAGACAGTGTAAGCATCAGAACCCTTGCCTTAAGATCCATATCCAAGGTCAGTGTCAACAAAATGAAGATTGAATTATCATGCAGGTTTGGCCATATGGGAGATGATAGCCTTGTTGGAGCCTATGCACAGGTCATTCATGAATGGAGGCCATTGGCCTGTTAATGTTGAAGATTGAGGCATTCAAGTTGAACAACCTTCATAATAGTTCTTTAAGGGCCAATAACAGGGTATTAGCTACCAAAATTCCATGCAGGAACAAGAGCCATCCTTAAAATGATGAAACCGATGCCGATCCCTCACCACAATTTCCCGATCAAAAGCTTTTGATATTAGTTTTGCTGCTGCGTGACAATCACTACATATTCGTAAGTTCTTGATTATTCTTATAGGAGTAGGAGGAGCGATAGCAATGAGCCCATAGGCAATTGCAAGCTTTTCACTATGTCTAAACAGGGTACTTTCTTTTTCTTCCTCATCAATATCAAGTAAAACCTCATCTGTGTCTGGGGCATAGCCCATTATTTTCAACCGTTTTTCCATTTCAGCCAACATTTCTTCAATTTCATTTATCTGGGAATGAGACTTGTCTCCTGCCAAGAATTCATGAACAGCACCATTTGCTTCAATCATACTGCAGCCAGGAACTTTAACAACCCCCTGCCGCGTCATTGCTACTCTAATATCCAGAACACTATCCCAATTACCCTTTGAAGCATATATGTTGGACAGTAACACATGAAATCCATCATGATCTGGCTGAAGTTCAAGGAGCTTCCTTCCAACTCTCTCCCCCATTTCACTATTACCATGTTTTCTGCAAGCTCCAAGAAGAGCACCCCAAGTGGCAACATCAGGAGCTATAGGCATACTGTCAATAAGTGTCTCAGCTTCTTTGAGCAACCCTGCACGAGCAAGTAGATCAACCATGCATCCATAGTGCTTGATATTAGGTTCAACATTGTAATGTCTGGTCATAGCATTAAAGTAGGAGCGGCCCTCATCTACCAGTCCCATATGTCGACAGGCACCAAGAACTGCGACAAAAGTAACCTCATTAGGGGTTACACCACATTCCTTCATCTTCTGAAACATGTCTAGTGATCTTTCCACCTGCCCATTCATGGCCAACCCAAGAATTAAAGCATTCCAAGAAGACACCCCTTTTTCTTCCATTCCATTGAAGACTTCCAATGCATTCTCCACACAACCACATTTCATGTACATGTCAAGAAGAGTTGTGCCAAGAATGCTATTCACTTTGAGCCCATTCTTTCGTATGTAAGCGTGAATCCATTTTCCTTGATCAAGGGCAGACAAGTGGGTGCAAGCCGAAAGAACACTGACCAAAGTAGTTTCATCAGGCTTATTGTCCTCATGCAGCATCTCCTGAAACAGTGCTAAAGTCTCTGAGAAATGATCATGTTGCGCATAACCAGAAATCATTGTAGTCCATGACACAACATCCTTCTCAGTCATGGAATCAAATAATTCTCTAGCCTGCTCCAGAGAGTCACATTTCAAGTAGCCAGAGATCATTGAGTTCCACGATATCTGGTCCAGATGACTACTCGTATCAAACAATCTTTGTGCAGCCATTACATCTGCACAGGTAGAGTACATATGGATTAAAGCATTTTGAAGGTTGACATATGATTCAAAACCAACTCTTATAACCAATCCATGTACTGATTCACCAGTTTGAACAACCAACAAGTGTGCACATGCAGACAGCACACTTACCGCAACAACCTCATCTATGGAAATTCCATTAGAACACATTTGCATAAACAAATCCAACGCTTGTGTGTACATCCCATGTTGCTCATAGCAAGAAATTAAAGCAGTCCAAGAAACCACATCTTTTTCCATCATTTCATCGAATAATTGACAAGCCTCACTCATCCTACCAGACCTACCCAACAATACAATCATAGAATTGGATGCAATAACATTCTTCATAGGCATCTTATCAAAAATTACTTTTGCCTCATCAACATTTCCAACTTGAACATAACCTGCCAGTATCGAATTCCACGAAACCGAGTCCAGAACAGGACTTTCATCAAACATCTTCCTTGCATCAATCAAGTTTCTACAGACAGCATACATGTTAATCAAAGTGTTCTTAACATAAACATCCGAACCAAATCCCGTTTGAATAACATGATTATGAAACTCTTTTCCTTCGGCTTCGGACAATCTAACTGTGCTAGCTTGAACCAGAAGCGGAAACGTATAATTATCAATACATACATTATTTTTCAACATTGATTTATACAAAAAGATTGTATTTTGAGGCTGGTTTCGCTGTAAATAAGCTCTCATCATGGTATTACAAATAAACCCATTTGGATTATCTATGTAATCGAAGATTTTATGAGAGTAATTAACGTGAATGAAAAGTGAGTCAGTGGAAAACTTGAGAATCCTGCTTGCAGCATATGTATCTCTGATGAACCCAGTGGAGATCATTTGTGAAAGAATTTGCCCAAAATGCTTAGAATTTTGGCATTTTAGCAGAAGAACCTCCAAGATTGAGAGGTTTATGGTTATTTTTGAGGTGAGTCTTTGAACAAAATTTGACTTGAAGGGTGAAAAGGCACATACCTTTGTCAAATTCATATAGCTATGTCCTTGTTTGTTAAAGTAATGAAAAGAGCTATGGATTATAAAAAAAATGGTGGAAAATTGAGGTGACCGGAGATGTCGCCGGAGCATTGAGTTCCGAGGATCGGAGATTTCTATTTGGGTTTTTCCAGTTTGTTTTTCGCGCCTTTCTTGTTTTGATATTATGCGAGAACAGGGGGATCTATTTAAATTAAATTCACTAGCATCAGTTTTCGGTCAGTCCCTTCAATTTCTCTTATGCTTGAAACAAATTACTTACTAAAATAATACTAATTCGAATTTCGAAAGTCATATAATTTAAGTTTTATAGTGTATTTAGAGATAAATTTTTTGAAGTATTAACATATTTTTAAAAATTACGTAAAAAGTAGGAGAAAGTAGTATAAGTCATAATAATTGATAATTCTCAAAATTACGATAAAAAATAGACTTATTTGAATCTCAAAATTTTAAAGATACTACGTAAATTGGGACGGGTGAAGTGACTATTTACTACCACATTCGTCCACTTTTAATTGTCATGATTTCTTTTTTAGTGTCAAACGGTAAAACTTTGACTAACATTTTATGATGTATTTTTTCATCATATTGATATGCAAAATATTACTATAATTTATAGTACTTTTTGTATAGTTTTTGAATATCTTAATTTTTTATTTAAAATATCAAATTATTATAATCTAATTTAACTTTAAAAATTAATTAAATTGACTTTTAAAAAGTGTAATATAACAATTAAAAATAGACGGAAGTAACAAATTACTACTAGCCACTCATCGTTTCCACTCCCTCGTATTTTACAAAAACACGACAAAATATCAATCTCCAACAAATATTTTAATGATATTAAGACTGTATATAAAATTTGAATAATTTAAACCTATTAAAAATTGGGAATTAATTGTGAAAGAAGAGAAGAAAAGCAAATGCACTAAATAAATTAATATTTAAATAATTTAGATTCAAAGCTTCATTAAATATAAATAAATAAAACTTAGGGACCCTTTAGCACAAGGTTAGAGAACATTTTTTTTGATTTCCTATTTGGTGTTTGGAGTTTGTATTGAAGCGCCGATTAGATTTTCAAATCGCATATTACAGAACCCACTCAAGGATAACGCTCCCAACAAGGTTAGAAAGCTTTCTTATCCTACCACTTCCATCTTCGCAATTCACCTAATCAACAACGTTTTAATTGCTTCGGTTATTGAGTTATTTTATTTTTATGCACATTGATTTCAAATGTTAACTTTTTTTTTAATGCTGTCCTTCTCTATTCGACTCTTTATGCTAGAGTTGTTAAAGAGAAATCGTTATGAATTAAAAATTGTATAAAGGTTAAGAGCGATGATTATTGCTTTTATCCATGGTCTCTAACTTAACGATTGAGAAAAATACATAGGATAATTTGACATTTAGGGTACAACTATATTTTAATTATTTTTAAAAAAAGTGAATGAAACATGTGACGATACAATTAATTTTTTATATGTATTATTAGTGGAAAAATAATTTAAAACAGAAGAAATGTGCATAACATATTTAGAGAAAGATTATGATGTAAAAGTACCAAATACATAAGGGATGTAAAAATAATTTGGCTACAAAGTCAAACTTAAAATGGTGTTTAATAGATTAAACTCCTAGAATTAAGTGTTAAAATGGAAGGAAAAAAAAGAGGACATGTTTAAAGGACTATCTATCATATGTTTGCAATAATGCTATTTCAAAAAGTGCAATATTAATATGTAGTTTCATAAGTGAGGTTGAGTAGAATTTAGCTTAGGCATTGTTTATTCTTTTTTTTTTCCGTGAAGGTAAAAAGACGATTTTGGAAAATTAACCCTATTTCAAAATTATAAGGGATTGTTTGGTAGTTGATTTGGAGATGATTTATGTAAGTATTAAATGATGCATAAGTAATGCCACATTTAATAACTAGCTAGGAGGTAAGTTATGCAATGTTTGATTGCAATTTAAAAGGGCATAATACATAAACATGACATTTAACTTGACTTCAACGAATAACTATGTTCTCCAACTTTGAATGTGCACAAACAAACACTTAAACTTGTATGAAATTGAACAAGTAGACACAAGTGTCCTACATGGCACAATACATGTAAGACGCCATGTAGGACACAAAATTGTCATGTAGGACGAATGTGTCCATTTGCTCAATTTTATACAAGTTTAAGTGTCTATTTGTGTACACCCAAAGTTAAAGGTCATAGTTGTCAACTGACGTCAAGTTAAGGGTCATGTTTATATATTATACCATTTAAAAACTCGCATAACTAATACATATATAAATTATGTAGAAATCTATGCAATAAATAATAGTACATGAATAACTAATAAATAATATATAAATCTCCTTGTAAATAATTCATGTATTACTAATACCCTGCATACGAGCACCAAACGACCCCTTAAAAAAAGTTAAAATATGCCACCAACCCCCAAAACAATCTGGCCAAAACTTGTCATTCTTCTTCACCGTCTGTCTGTCAGTCTTCTCTCCGCCATAATAAAATTCTTTCAAATCTCATATAACCGCCAAAACTCAAGAATCTTCCTTTCATCTTCTTGCAGCCATGGAAACTGAAACTGAAATGCTCAATACTTACTTCTCAAATGGCGCAGAAGTTGAGATTAGCAGTGATGAGGACGGTTTCCGAGGCTCGTGGTATGAGGGAATAGTGGTACGACCCATTCAGAAGAAACAGAGGACGAATAAAGACGACGACGACGACGACGAGAGTAGCAATAAGCTGCGGGTATTGGTGGAGTACAAAACACTGATGGCGGATAAAAAAGGTAAACGGCCATTGAAGGAGGCAATGACCTTAGTTCAGCTGCGGCCACGGCCGCCACCTGAACGGAGGAGGAAGTTCAAGGTCAGTGATGAGGTGGATGCTTATTACAATGATGGGTGGTGGGAGGGTGTGGTCATGGAGGTGTCAAGTGATGGGAAGTACTCTGTGTTCTTCAGGGGAACAAGGGACCAGCTGGAATTTGAGGAATCTCGGATACGGATCCATCGTGAATGGGCCAATGGTGAGTGGACCCCACCATTTGGGGACGAAGGAGAAGAAAAAAAAAGAAAGGAGGTAAGTTCCTTTTTCGTCTCGGATATGAGTTTCCTTTAATCAATAAAATGTGTTAGAGAACTTGCAAATTCTTGCTTGAATGGCGTTATCTGGGTTCTTACTTTTCTTTTAGGCTCTTTAGGGTTATCAATGTGTTTTAGCTCCCAATTTACTTAGCAGAAGCTAAGAAAGTTGGACTAGAAAATACTCTCTATAAGTTCTTTGGATACAGTTTAAATCTGTTGCATTTCTTGGGATAGTTGATTTGAAGACTTGAGAGGGAGGATATATCAATATGCATTGGAACTTCGCAGATATAGGGGAATCTAACAGCTTTCTGAGTAGAATCAGTTTACACTTCCTGGATAGGGTGTTTTTATTTTCAGCTGATCAAGGGAAACTTGAAAGTTAAAAGAAGTCTACTTGCTAGTTTCTCACCTTTATTTTTTTTGAAACTGGTAACTTTTTGTATTCCTCGGCATTAAGGGCGATGCTGGTAGCCTCCAAAAAGGTATTACAAAAGAAAAGAGAAGATAGAATACTTACAAAAGCCTAAGCCTAACGAAGTACTAATTAGTAGGTTATAAAATCTACTAGTTGGATCTCTTCATCTATATCTTGTACTTTACACCAAAAGCCTAAGGAAGTAATAACTTCCCATTTAGTCTTTTCTATAGTACATTCTTTCCCTTAAAAAATTCTCTTACTTTTCATATGATCCACCATATGCAAGTTAGAGCTGGTCTCCACCATCTCTTCTGACTCTTGCTGCCTCCCCTTCTAATCCAGCAGCTTAGCAGGCCTGATGTATGTTCTGGCATGGTCCAGTATATGTTGGCTATGCTGGTAAAAAAGGGCCCAAATCTATGTTGCTCGGACTCTTCAAAAATGTCAACGGATGCATGTAGGTTTCTCCTAAAGTAGTGTATTTTTGAAGAATCCAACACGGGTGCGGCATTGAAAGTGAAGAGTCCACACAACTTAGGCCCAAACCTTTGTTGTGTTACCTTATAGTGAAGAAATAGGTGTCTCTAGAGCTTATTTGCACAAAAAATACCTTGAGGCAATGATGCCTCTCTTTTGCAGAGCCTCATGACTCAAGCATGCTCTTTTGGATACCAACCAAGTGAAACACTCCACTTTGGTTAGAGTCACATTCTTCCAGAGATGCAACTTGAATATCATAAAAGCTGTTAGAGTGGGTAAAAGTCCCACATTGGTTGGGGAATGGACTGGTGGTCTCCTTATATGGACTTGGGCAATCCTCCTCTCATGGGCTAGTTTTGGGGTTGAGTTAGGCCTAGGTGCCATATCTTTACATGGTATTAGAGCCAGGTCCATCCCCGTTTGGGCTCCCGGTCCACGCTCCAGTTGGGCCTGGGCGTGAAGGGGGGTGTTAGAGTGGGTAAATGTCCCACATTGGTTGGGGAATGGACTGGTGGTATCCTTATATGGACTTGGGCAATCCTCCCTTCATGAGCTATCTTTTGGGGTTGAGTTAGGCCCCAAGTGTCATATCTTTACAAGCAACACGAATTGTGCTTGAATATTTACAAAACGATACAGCTTCACTTCAAATCAACATGGATTTAAGTGGTGTGTTAACAGAGATTCTGCATCATTAATCAAATCCTCTTTACCACTCAGGTGGAATACTATTGAAAAGAAGTAGTATGAGATGACTATGCAAGTATATAGGAGTATAAATGGTATTGTCATTGATAAAAATAATTATTTTAAGCCAGGCTTCTGACATCTCTTGTGACCAATCTAGCTTCAGCATAGATGCTAAACGCATGCGCCCAGAAACAAAATGGGAGTTGGAAGCATGTTTCTATTATTATATCCAACTGATGAGCAAATCTGGCACTTGAGTTCATCTGAAATATGTCTATATTTACCATTTCTTTTCATGATTGTAATTCGTACATGTCTGTATGAGATAACACATAAACAAAAATTATTTAAATAGGGCATACATTTTTCAAGTTTCAGACTTTCTCTCAGTTCTGTTCATGTGTTTCACTTTTTGATTTGTTTCTTCTCTCTCCCCGTTTTGTTTGACAAAAACTCTCAATTCTGTTTTTGTGTTTCACTTTTTGATTTGTTTCGTTTCTCTCCCCACTTATTTTGACTTCGGCATGAAATACAGAAACTTGTATCTACTGAAACAAAACCCAACAACGAAGCTGCAGAAATTTTTAGCGAAGGGTCATTAGTCGAAGTCAGCAGTGATGAAGAAGGTTTTGAGGGTGCTTGGTTTGTTGCAACTATTGTCAAGTTTTTAGATAATGGTAACTACCTGATAGAGTATCAGACCTTAAGAAACAATGACGATACAGCGTTTTTGCAAGAAGAAACTGATCGTTTGCATATACGACCTCGTCCACCTGATATTGGATCTTTTGAAAGCTTCAAAGTCCTTGAAGAAGTTGATGCTCTGCACAATGATGGCTGGTGGGTGGGTGTGATTTCTAAAGTACTTAAAGGCCAGAGATACAAGGTTTACTTTAAGGCGAGCAACGAGGAATTGGAGTTTAAGCATGCTGATATACGGCTGCATCTGGACTGGACCAATGGCAAATGGGTCAGAGCTTCCCAGGTACAGTTTCCTGGATGACCGAATTAAAAATCCATGAATTAGATTAAATTTTTCCTTGGCATGGAAGACCACACATTCTGTCCTGGAAAAAGATCTGCTTTTCTTTTATTGTTATGTGACATTGCTTTTTGATCTATATATGATGGCAAAATGACTCGTGAAGGTAAACTTGCTAATAAACTGGAAAGTAATTTGCAGGTTCTGTTTCCTTCCTTCAAGTATGTATGTACTCATAGACCTTCTGAAATCTGAACTCCAGCTAGCTAAACACTGGTGATACTGTAATGTTAGATAGCTCTTATATTGGAGGAACAGAGTTCCGGCCACCCATCCCCCCTGACCCTAACATGAACAAACCCCGTCTCTCTCTCTCTCTCTCTCTGTATACCCTCTATCCCTAAACAAATCCTAGATGCTTTTACGCCAATTTTTGGATCACCACAATATATGTGATTCTAAAGAGACAGGATCCAGAGCTTGCTGCCATAGACTGCCTAGATCTTGTTCAGTATGGTAACTTGTTCATACACATTTGGTTACTTCTCCTTGCTCTAGCTGATATCCACTGCCCACTAGCCCTAAGAGTTCCTGTAATAAGCTTCAATTTCATGACTAACATTTCTGAAGAGATATTTGGTACTTGTATGTGAACTAGACTAATACACTGCTGCACATATAAACTCCTTAGCTAATATTATTATCTTAAAGCTATCAACATACTACTTAGATGTGTATCTTACATTCAATTTGATCAATATTGACATACTTGATTTTCCAGGCATTAAAGTTGTGATTTTCGAGAAATTGCAATGTTGGAAGATCTGCAATCAGGATTTGTAGTGTGGCTTCTTAATGGTATATGCTTTTCTCTTAGTCATTTGTTCATTATTCATCTTGTACTGAAGTTGTGATGTATATAGTGTGGTAGAAATGTATGTTAGGTACATACTTATCTTCCTATTTGAGGAGTTGGAAAAATCCTATGTTGGTGGCAAAAGTATAGTCTAGTGCTTTATTTATAATGGGTCTAAAAATTGGTTTTTTGCTATTGTTGATTCCAACAGTTTTACAACAACACACCCAGTGTAATCCCACAAGTGGCTCAGGGGAGGGTGGTGTGAACGCAGATCCTTACCCCTACCTTGTGAAGGCAGAGGTTGTTTCTAAAAGACCCTCAGCTCAAGTAAAACAATTCAATGGTTTTCTTAGTGTGAAATTCTAGTTTTCTCTTCAAACTGTAGTGAGGCTAACCAAGTTCTGTCTTGAGGTAACATGCACCTCTATGTATACCATCTCTGGCCCCTTAACCCCAATTCTCATGGTATAATTGTCTTAAATCATCCTTTTGATCCCTATTCTCTTTTATCATTCCCCTAGACTCTGAGGCGCTTTTAGCTACTATCAACTACGACTATAGATTATAGATATAGTTGCCTTTGCTTTCAGACTGTTCTAGCTTTTACTACCTGCCATGTGTTCATTTTAACAAAGCTCCTTTTGTTTTTAAAACGGTTTGTCAAGTTGCCTTGATTTCTCATCTCTTGATTTTATTTTATCTGGTTGTCTTGCAAATCAGTAAACAAATTTTTTCACCCTTTCTCTCTTTTGCCTATTTCCCCCGGTAATGCCTTGTTTGGGCTGCCTATTCCAGCTTATCCCCTTGTCCCATCAGGCATCTAGTGTCCATCCTTCCCCTTGCGGGCTCGCCTTGGTCCCAAGTAACATTCTTACAGGACTAATGAGCAGCAGAGCTTTCTCTTATCTTGACTGTACTCAGGGGCTCATGCCCAAAATGTAGGCTGCCCTTATGTCATTCCTTCATGGTGTGGCGACTATTCTTTTAACTACTTAGGGTTCCTTATTTACAAAGGACTAACAACTGTGTTCCTCATCTAAAAATCCTTCTATGCACCAACAAGCAGGGATTCCTGACCATACAGAAGTTACTTCAACCGCTCCTTTTGAAGTTTAAGTTCTTGTTTTGTATCTTTACTCTGTCCCTTAGGCCTGCATGCTTTTCCAACATCTATGTAATTTTTTTGCATATTTTCTCGACCTCCTTTCCTCTACTGATTAATAAGTCTCTCTTACCTGAAACAAGAATCTTGTACTTCATTTCATTGTTTCAATAGCTTACTTCCAACTCATGGTTCCTAAGCTTAGTAAGGTTGATTCACGTATTGTTCGAGTGTGTCACAGTGTCTTTACTACATCCATTTTTGTGCAACTTTCGAGCTAATTTAGTGTTGCGTATGTGAATTGTTTGCATTGAGGTTCTTGATTAATAATACTTTATTAAGTAAGTTTTCAAGTTTAGCCATATCTAATCTTTCATTTACTTGCCTCTGTAGGTTTAACGGATAATGTGGTCTGCTCAGGTTTGTAACATATATTAGGATGTGTGGATTAGAAAGATTGTGGCCTATCAAGAATTTGAAAATGAACCCTGTACTCCTTTAGAGAAGCCTTACAGGTGTGTCAATATTGTTGTGCTAAGTTAAATTGTGTGTATAGACTGCTCTAGTGTAATCCAAGCCTACGGACAACATCAGTTGTTGTCAACTTCAAGATTCATGCACTTATATAAATTTGTACTTCTTTTGTTCTTAATGTTATGGGGCGGAAATATTATTAACATTGTCAGTTCTATCATTTGAGTTTATCCTATGTATGAACGTACTCGAAGGAGATCATCACATATATCGGAGTGTAATTTTAAACTATGTATTTATACGTTTTCAAAAGTTGATTGTCATTTGATCAGGGGATTACGGATTTGAGCTGTGAAAAGAGTCTCTTATACAAAAGGAGGGTAAGGTTGTTGTACATTAGATTCTTATGGATCACTTTTTTCTGGGTTGCTCTGACTTTGATAGCAATGGCCGTTGAGATTACTACAAAAAGAGTAGCACGTTTTTCTTCGTATTATTATAATAATAACGTTTATATTTCTTTTTTTGAAGATGTGAACTAAGAAGTTAATAGAACAAATATAGCTGAAAAAATTAATTAAACTTTGCATCCCGTAAATGTAGCCAAATTGCACTTTCATGTAATTTACATTACTTTTTAGTTTTTAAACAACCAATAGTTCTAATTCAGCAACTTGATCAATTTTGGGAGGGCAATAAAAAGTGGCAGATTGATACTCCCTCCGCCACAAATCGTCTGTTATGATTTTTAAAAATATTTACTAAATATAATCTATCATTTACTAAGTTCTCACTATTGTAAATATTTTTTATCTTAAATTTTTAAAGTAACATTTATAATGAGACGGAAAAAGTATTCTTTTACCATTTTATCTTAGTGATAATTATTCTTAAACACTATAAATACTTTAATTATCGAATGATGAATGACAAATAGAGAGATTATATATTAGTAGTAAAACACGAAAAGGGGGAAAATAATCAAAAACTTCTCCAAATTAATTTTAAAAAATTAAGAAGAATGAGAAACACGACATGTAAGTAATAAAAAAAATGTACGTGTACTGTTGGTATTTTCCAACAACAAGACTGATAATTATTCATTGCTGATGTCTTAATTATGAGTTAGGTACCAATCAATAATTGTTAGGTGATGATTTTAATTAGGACACCTACTTTAGTCCAAGCCATTTTTTTTTAATTCTTCTCAAACGTATTCTATCTTTCTTCTTTTTCTACACGATTGGAATCCTCTCACTGATTTTTTTATTTTTTTACCAAACTCAATACTTTTTAGGCCAGCATTTATGAATTGTGTGTTCTTGAGTCTTATTTTTATTGTGATAATTATTTTTCTTTTATTTCGTAAAAGTAATTTCTTCAATTTAATTTATTTATCTTACTTTTCTTTTTTGTTCGTTTAAAAAAAAATGATTCTTTTTTTTTGTACTTTTAATTCTAAGTTTCTACATTACATGTTTAAGACTAAGATATTTTTGGTATATTCTATATATCTTTAGTGTAAGATCACAACATTCAAAACAATTCTTTATTTTCATAAACATCATGTCACGTCAAAATCAGAAATCGGCGGGAGTCTATATATATATATATTAAAACTTGATCTGTCATCTCAATATATTAGCCCATTTATATGAATTTAATTCCCCAGCAAGCCGTCAAGTTGGAGAAAGATAGCTTATAACCCGTGGTTTAATTTAATGTCATTAGCCATATCTGTCACAAAGTGTACCACTCAAATATTAGAGTACCCTTCTTATTATTATTGTCCCTCAAGATAGTTATCTGAGCTTTAATGATTTAAAATTCTTGATTCCACCCTAACACAAATTTGCATCTCAATGTTGTTGCAATTACATATTCTCAAAAAGAAACTGAAAATTGAAAATTGAAACACGTAACAAAAGAAATAATACGATAGCTTAGTTGATCGATTAGCTAAGTTTTTATCTTGTTAGTGAGTCTTAGTAATTGACTAAATGCTTCGAGATTTGGAATCAAGCATAGATTCAGAAATCATGATTGATTATAAGAAAATATAACCAACACTAATGAAAAATGAACTTTTGATTTAAACTAAGTTTATTAATAATAATGTGACTAAATTCAAAGAAAAGATGACATAATTTAGCCACTTGATCATAATCATGAGTACATCAAGATGAATTCATAATCATAATCCTCAACTTAAGTAGTAGTAGTAGTAAAACAACAACTTTTAAATCAAAATAAAACTTCTTTTTTTCTCAATAAAATAAGCAAATCAATTTATTTTTTCTTAAACCTCTTTGACTTCCACTGCAGCAACAGCAGCAGCACTCACTTCTTTGGCTTCTTCTTTCACTTCCTCTTTGACTTCTTCTTTAACTTCCTTTTTAGGCTCATCAAGTTCAAAGGCTGAAACAGGGAAAGTCCTAGAAAGCCCAGTTGGGGTTTTGAAATGGATTTTACCAGTGGATGGCTCATCAACACAAATTTCAGTAAGTGTTAACCACATAAGTAGCTCTTTAGCTTTAACCCCAGTAAGTTTCTTGATCTTATTGGGCTCAACATAAGCTGTGACTTCAGTTGCATATTGGACTGATCTTCCAATTTTTTCAAATTTGTGCTCTGTTTTATTCTTGGATTTGAGCCAAACAAAGCCAGTGTCTTTTACATAGCCACATTCTAACATGTCTTGCATAGGGAGAACACCATTTGGGAGGTTCATTTCTGTTAACAAGAACTTTGATTTTTCTTGACAGATATCATTTCCAGTGTAGAATTCAGTTGCACTGGCTCTGATCTCCTCTGTTATTAGAGACATTTTTTTTTTTACTTTCTTTTGCAATGGATATTTTGCTTTGTAATGAATGAGATAGATTGGCAAAAAGGCTTCTAATATATAGATGTCAATATGAGAGATTACCCTTCGGTTTTGGCTTAAATTTCTCAAATGCCCTTATGATATGCCTACATTAAACAATAGTAATGTTTTAAAAAAAAAAAGAAATTGACAATTTAAAGAGCAAATCAGAAACTTGGAGGATTTTTTTTATAGGAAATTTCAAAAAAAACTAAGATTATAAATCAGCCTCCTTAGGTATAGATAAGTTAATTACGATTCATAGCTACATGTTATAAGAAGTAGAGAGATGAATGAGATAGGGAAAGGAGGAGAGAGAGAAGTGAAATCTGGGAGAGAGGAGATACGAGAGATATATATAACTGATTTGTATATTTGATCGATGTCAATTAATTATATTAGCATATTAACTAATAATCCCTCTGTCCAACAATACTTGTTCATTTTGACTTCGCACATTTGTAAAAAAACTTTAAATAGAAGGATAATTTTATTATATCACCCTTTAAATATACTTATTCTGAGTTCTGTACAACAATACTTATCCACTATTGACTTTGCACACTGCTAATTTATAAATAGAAGAAAATTTTTACTAAATCACCTTTTGAATATAATAAATACAGTGTCTTGAAAAATGTAATAGAGAAATGACTATAATTAATGATAAGGGTAAATTAGGAAGCAAGTGTAAAATTATTCATTGATTTCATAAGGTGGACAAGTATTGTTGGACATCCCAAAATAATATAGTGGACAACTATTGTTGTACGGAGAGAGTAATAAATACAATGTCTTGAAAAATATAATAGGGAAATAACTATAAATAATTATAAGGGTAAATCAGAAACTAATCGTAAAATTATCTATTAATTTCATAAAATGAATAAGTATTATTAAACATCTTAAAATAATATAATGGACAACTATTATTAGACAAATGATAATACAATTTGGTGAGTGGATGCGTATATAAAACGGCCGTCTCCGCAAGTGTTTAACAAATAAATTACTTAGGCCTAAGTCATCTGCAGCCCATTAAAGTTGTCCGCATAATTCACTTAGACACCTTAACTAAAGCTAGTACCTATTGAACACCTAAAATATTCAAAACGTGTATCTATTAAGCACAAAATACTGATGTGGCAAAAAAAGTGTTCTTCACTTTCCATGGGCGCGTGAAGATGCCCAAATAACATTTTCCTTTTTCTTTTTCCTGAAAAAATACATTTTTTTGCTTTATTGACCCTTGACATTAATTAATAAAGAAACCAAAAAAAAATTAACTAACAATATAAAAAAAAAGCAAGGCGTCTTCTTCTTCACAGGATGATGCCTCAACGATTTTCATCCAACATCATTCCACCATCTCTGTACTTTCCAGTTGCCTCTCATGCCACCCCACCCCTCCAACTTTCTCTCTCTCCCTTTCAACTCATGCCACCCCACCCCCTCTAACTTTCTCTCTCACCCTCTCCAATTATTCTTCTATTCTTTTCTTCTTTTTTCAGGTTTCAAATATTCCAGCGAAACTCCATTTATTCCGATGTAAGAAAACTGAATCAATTATTTTTCAGGCAAAAAATTGTTATTAATTCTTGTAACTGTGATAAATATTTATTAATCAAAAGAAAATGATGGCAATGGTAGGAGGTGCTGCCGATGAAAGGGAATGAAAGAGTGGGGCGATGATTTATTTGCGTGTCGGCGCCGACGGAAAGGGGAAACGGTCTAAACAAAAAGAAGAAGAAGACGTACGGATGGTGGGGGTGTTAATTAAAAGAGTTAATTTTTATTTTCTTAAAATTCTTTTTGGAATATTTAAATTGAATTCAACCGCCACGTGTCATTGTTTCATTGGATAACCTATTATATATTTGCATTTGAGTTACACGCAGTTTTGTTTTTCAACTGATTATCATTTTGTGTCTAATAGATATAAATTTCTTAAGGTTAAAGTGTTCAATAGGTACTCACCCTAGTTGAGGTGTCTAAATGAATTATGCGGATAACTTTAAGGGGCCGCAGATGACTTAGGCCAATTACTTATATTCATTGCATCAATATTTATAGGAAATACATGGAGAAAATGACATAAATAGTCCTTTAACTATAGGAGTAGATCTAAAATAGGTCCCTGAACTATACACTTAACGGATTTAGTCCTTCAACTATTCAAAAACTTGTCAGTTTTGGTCCCTTAACTATACACTTACCGATTTTAGTCCCTTAACTATAAACTTACCGATTTTAGTCCTTTAAGTATTCAAAAATTTATCAAGTTTGGTCTTTGTCCATTTTTTAAATACAAATAGCTTAGGTTTATATTAACAGAATCTATGCCTCGAGAAATTAAATCTTTTAGCAACTTTTTCTGTTGGTTCTCTCTCCGTTACTTTTTCTTCAAATTAACCTTATGCGAAGA